CAATTCTGTTATGGTTAAAAAAGTTAGTTAAATAAAGATTTAATTGGAAGTCTGTGTTTGTGTTCTTTACTAAAATTAAATCATTTAGCAATATCATAAAAAGTCCAGGCAGAGCTGCACATAAAATATGATTTCAAATCTTTTCAGTAATTATCAATATCGATCAATATGCATTTTTTTATTGTCGATAAGCTTTTTTTCTATATCGCCCAGCCCTACTTTAACCAACTAAAAACTGTAGCATTCTCTTTAGGTTTCTGTTCTTGCTTAAAAAAAAATATTTTCTTTTAATTTTTCACTTTTTACTAATTTTCTTGCTAGTATTTCTTTCTCGTCTTTAGACAAAATAAAATTCAGTTTTAGACCCATTATTTTGGCATATTGTTAAACATAATTGATTATAAAATTCAATTTTGTGTTTTACATGAATTTATTTATCCGGGTAAATGTTATTGTAGGTTTATTAATCAATGTAAATAATTCAAAACTTTTTCAAAGTAAATTATGTAATATGACTAAAAAGTCAAAAAGGAAAAAGAAGATGTAAGCTACTTCACATATATTTTTGTTCTATGTCAGTTTTGTCTTAATAATCTATTATGTTTGCTGTAACTTTTACAGCAATATTTTAATCAGAGGTTACAGTCACATCAAGTTATTACAATATTAAAATATACTTTTATTTAGAATCGCCTGGCAAAACAAAGTGCTTATATATCTTTCAACAATTATACTTTTTAAACTTTTTTGAGCTTAAATGACCTAAAGAACGATTTGAAAACTATTTTTGCACTTTTTGCAACTTTTAACCACAAATACAACTTCTTAATTTCATTATCAATGTACCGAAATGAGGCAAAAAACCTACAATAAATCTTATTTGGTTCAACTTTGTAAAAGTAAACTAAAGCATATTTAATGAACACACAAAGAATACTATGAATTTAACAATAAAGTAAGCAGAACCTATTTTTTTGAATTTCTAAATATCAATTAAAAATATTTTCAATGACAAAACTGACTAGAATGGAAAACAGCTAATTAGCGTTTTTTTTATTATTTAGCTTTTTGCGTGTAAAGCATCTGAAATGCTGTAAAAGGTGACTTCTGATGCTCTGACTGAACCAAGCTCGCTATATTCAAATAGTCAGAGACAGCCGATCCTGAGAGAGTTTATTTCAAGCAACATATCACGTTTTGTGTCTCAGAGCATCAGGAGTTTCTGCCTCCAGGACTGCAGACAAACATGCCACCTTATTCCCAGTCATCCAGGTAACAACAAACCTTTTCCTGATCCGACTGTTATGGATCAGTCTGCAAGCATTACATCAAATGCATGTAAATATATGAGACAAGGAGAGGAAGAAAGTGAAGGAGGGAGTTTATTTTCAAGGATCTAATACCATGCGAGCTGCTGCTTTAGACGTCTGAGACCAACATGGAGTTAACACACAGAAAACGTTCCTTTTACAAAAGCTTTCCCCTTCAGCGTCTGCACTCCCACATGGTCAGAACAAACACAAACACAACAGCTGTTATGTAAAACATCAATACAGCCTACTTCCAAAGCCTCTTCCTTCAAAATGTGTAAAAAGAATAAAGAAGTTCAAGGTAAAATCTCATTATCGAGCTACACACCTAATGTACCAGTGTATTGCAAAGACCAAGTTCCAATTGTGTGATTTAGTTTTTAGAGCTGTAATGAGTCTGTATGTGTGGGAGGAAAAAGAATTGAAACTTGCATTTTTTAGAGCAGAAAATGAGTTGGAAGTACAAAATCACAGGGGGAGTTTAAATGGATAAATGATACATTTTCTAAAACTGATTTATCAAAAAGATCGTAAAATACGTTTTATTAGTTTATTAGGCTTTGAAGAAGTTTCCCTTTTTTGGTGTGTGTTTGCACCTCATAGCGGACTTTGAAAATCATTGTCTGAATTTTTTATCCGTTTTTATCAATCATGTTTATTTCACAATCTCAGATTCTGAGTTTGACATTGTATGGATTTAAAGTATGTACACAGGAGAAAGAAAGAAAGAAAGAAAGAAAGAAAGAAAGAAAGAAAGAAAGAAAGAAAGAAAGAAAGAAAGAAAGAAAGAAAGAAAGAAAGAA